AACACCCACAACCTCACAACAACACAGAACAGATCACAACGTAAAATTGTAGATTTTGTTTTGTAGGAAACATTTTAAATCACAATTCTTCGTATAAAGTCTGTGTAATTCTTCTTCTAAATCCATTTCAACTTTGTCATGATTTTATTTTGTGTGTTTGTCGTCAGGTTCCAGCGTTGGTTCACTTCCTGCTCTCTTTAGACTTCTGCAGCGCCGTCACTAAGGTAACGCACACACGTTTACAGGGGGAAGTATAGTTCTGCAAAAGTCCCGCTCTAGTCCTGGTCTAATAAAGGTCTGGTCCCGGTCTAATCACAGTCTAGTCCTGGTCTAGTCCCGGTTTACTCCCAGTCTCGGTCTAGTCTCAGTCCAGTCCTGGTTTAGTCCTGGTCCGGTCCTGGTTTAGTCCTGGTCCTGGTTTAGTCCTGGTCCGGTTTAGGTCCTGGTCCTGGTCTTGGTTTAGTCCTGGTCCGGTCCCTTGGTTTAGTCCTGGTCCTAGTCCTGGTTTAGTCCTGGTCCTGGTCCTGGTTTAGTCCTGGTCCTCTAGTCCTGGTCTAGTCCTGGTCCTAGTCCTGGTTTAGTCCTGGTCCGGTCCTGGTCCTGGTCCTGGTCTTAGTCCTGGTCCGGTTAGTCCTGGTTTAGTCCTGGTCTAGTCCTGGTCCTGGTCCTGTCCTGGTCTTAGTCCTGGTCTAGTCCTGGTTTAGTCCTGGTCCTAGTCCTGGTCCTGGTTTAGGTTTTGGTTTAGTCCTGGTCTAGTCCTGGTTTAGTCCTGGTCCGGTCTGGTCCGGTTTAGTCCTGGTCCGGTCTAGTCCTGGTCTCCTGGTTTAGTCCTGAGTCCTGTGGTGGTTTATCCTGGTCTATTGGTCATGTTCTGTTCATCCTGTTTGTTTCTCGTTCTGGTTCTGGGGTTTTTCTTCCTGATAATAACGTCGCTGCGTCTCTGGATACTCGTCCCTGATTGGTCGACGCTGTGTGTCTGACGTGAAAAGTTCAGCATTTTCAACTTCTTGACGCTGACGCCTCGGACGCGCGTCTAGAGCGTCGACGCCAAAACGCTCAAGACGCGCCGCAAAAACGCAGGACGCTCTAGTCGCGTCCACATCGACTTTACGTAGAAACTGGACGCTTTGACGCTTTGGTGTGAACGAACCTTTAGTCCAACAGAATCTGAACCGCAGCTGTAAAACGTAAACACATATGCACAAAGCTGCATTAAACACATTATTTCTCAATATATATTGGAAGAAAGGAAAGTCGAGTACAGAAAATATGTGTAGTGCGGTGGTAGAGACGACCAATCACAGCCCTTTTCGTCTGCGTCGCTTCGTCCGCTGTCCGTATTGTTTCGACACGTAGTTATAACATTTTGGAAGTGCACGTCGGTCGACACAGACGCTCCGTGTAGGAGGTTCACGTCGACACAGACTCTCGATTTGATGCTGGACCATAAATCGGCCTTAAAGGTTGTATAGAGGATTTTCCAAGGAACGAGAAATCCAGCGACTGTTTGTCCTTTTTCAAATGTTGATTGCGTGAAACCACCTCCCCTCCCCCACAGCTCCTACGTAGAAACACCTCCTCCCTCCTCCTCCTTACGCCAGAAAGTCCTCATCGTTGTAAACAACTAACTACAGTGTTGGTGAGGCAAGGTGGAGAAGTGAGGAGCGGGGGGAGGGGGTGCGTGGAGATTCCGTGCGCGGAGAAGAAGTGATGAGCAGGGAGAAGAACGGAGCGAGGAGCGAGGAGCGAGGAGAGGAGAGGAGAGGTGCAGAGAAGGGTGCACGGAGATTCAGTGTGAATGAAGCTACTACTACAACACGCAGCAGCAAGTGGACTCTTTCTTTGCATTGAAAATTACGTTTTCAGACATAGGATATCACATTCGTGTCCTGAAAAACGTTTGTGTAGCTCTTGGAAATAAAGTACGTTTTCATAATAAGCAGAAGTTTCCTGTCCAGGAGTAATTTGTGGACCAGTGGTTCAGTCTTTAGACCCTTCGTCTGCTTCAGTCGCGCCATCGCTGGAATGAATCTACAAGAATCACCTTAGTTTGGCTTCGCTGCTTTTCCCCTTGTCTTCTTCTTTCAGCGACCTCAAAAACAGACTTTCTTTTGGGGCGAACTGCTCCTGGATTCTTGTCGCCATCGCAACAAACTTTGTGCAAACTGCGAGGAAGATATAGGTCAAAAAAGCCGCTAAGAACTGTTGCGTTGGTGGCGTAAACAGCGTCTGTGTCGTACGTAAACCAAGTCAGTTACACTAGAAACGTAGGGAGTTTGATTGACAGCCTGTCAGCTCACAGATAACGAGGCAGTGTCGTTATCTATTGGCAAATGTTTATCTGTCCCCACCACGTCCAGAGTTGATGAATTTTTATTCTCTTTTTTTTGGGCATCATAATTACAAGGCGACTGCATCTATAATCTATCACTGACAATCTTGAAACAAAAAAAAAATCCTCCATACAACCTTTAATACTACTGACACTTTACAATGGGGTGCTCTACATGTATCTCTATGGTGGAATGTTTAGGAGTTACCCTCTCTCTCTCTTTCTCTTTCTCGTTTCTTTCAGGTGGCTCATCCGTCCGTTCGTTCTCAGCTTCTCTCTTACATCTATAACGGTTTCCTGGTGCCTGTTCTGGCTCCTGCTCTGCACAAGGTTTGTACGAGTCACTCACACCGACTCTTCATCTGAGTTTTACTGAAAACAACTTCTGTTTCCACACGAGAGTTTTGGAGAGGAGACGTCGTCTTATCTGAGCAGCTGTGGTTTGGATCATCTCAGGTTTGGACGGAGGTTTTTTCTCGCTCTCTGGTCCGATTTCAGTCTCTTCTGGATTCAAACAGAACGTAAAAGGGACGGGAAGTTTACTTTTAAAATGTAATCCCCTACAGATTACAGATTACATACACCAAAATGTAGTTTGTAACGTAATCCATTAAATTACTTAAAGTGAGTAACGTAATCTGATTACTTTAATCTGATTTACTCTGGTTTAGATCTAGTTTAGACCTGGTTTTAGTCCTGGTTTAGGCCTGGTTTAGACCTGGTTTAGATCTAGTTTAGACCTAGTTTTAGTCCTGGTTTAGACCTGGTTTAGACCTGGTTTAGATCTAGTTTAGACCTGGTTTTAGTCCTGGTTTAGACCTGGTTTAGATCTAGTTTAGATCTAGTTTAGTTTCCGGCAATGATTGGAATTACCGAAAAAAGAAAAAAAAAAAAAAAAAGAGGAATAGCCCAAAATGTGAAAACAGTAAAATCCCTCTGTGTAATCCATTTATTTCAACAAAGTAACTGTAATCCAATTCCCACTCACTGAAACAGTAACTGTAACTGAATACAGTTACTCATCATTTGTACTCTGATTACTCCGGCACATGTAATCTGTTACTCCCCGACACTGACCGTGTTATATAACGTAAACAGAACTTTGTAGAGCAAGAAACGTCAGCGGCGGCGGCGGCGGCGGCGCGGCGGCGGCGGCGGCGGTGGGCGATGATGGTGGCAAATCTGTGCAGTGTTTCCCACAGAAAATAGTTTAGTCAAGGTGGTGAGCGGGAGTGAGGTGTGACCTTAGGACCGGTGCTTTTCTTTCCACTAAACAGCCTGATATTTTACCTGCCTTTTCCTGTCCATTACTGTAGACCACAGGTGCCAAACATACGGCCCGGGGGCCGGATCCGGCCCTCCAAGACCTTTAATCTGACCCTCGGCTGATTTTCTACTCAAATATTTTAATGATATTTTCTATTAAAATCTTGTTAATTTTGTGTGGTGTTTATCACAGCAGCGTCTCCAGCGTCTCTGTACGTGGCCCCTCCCACCAGAGCAGCACAAATGAAGACTTGTCTCTTTCCAAACGCTCTTAAAGGACGATCGTTTTGACTGTTGACCGTGACACCCTCATCAGAAAAATGTCCAACATGAGAAAAGTGGAGCCGAGTGCAGGATTTTACAACAAAAATTGACTTATTCCTATTTGCAAACAAGTTAATTTTAAAACATTGTGTTGAAATTGTATTTTTTTTCATAATATTATAATATTTTGTTAAAGAAAGAGTTCATCAATTAAAAAAGATTTCTGTAATAGATTTGCGTTTCTCTGCACAAATATTTGAACTTATTGCTATTTTTTGGGTAAATATTCCATGAGTTTTCTGATCCGGCCCCTTTAGGATCAGAGTCGGTTGGATACGACCCCAAGACCAAAATGAGTTTGACTCTCCTGCTGTAGACTAAAGAAAACCAAACCTACAAACGCATCGGTCGCCTTGATAAGAACCGAACAAGTGCAGCCCGTCTTAATCAAACAGAATATATGGGCAAGCAGTTGGCAGGACACTCACTTTAGATGAATAATTATAATTAACTATCTTACCTTCACATGTCCTTCACGCGACGGTGTCCAGATAATTATCTTCTCGTCTGAAAAAAATAAAAAAAATGTTGTGATGATAGGTGGCGCAGTAACATATTTAACCAACAGATGCCGCTATTCAGCCTCATCGCAGCGCGGCCTCACTGTCTATTCATGCAGGGGTGAAGGGTCGTTTTTTTTTTTCTTTTTTTTTTTATTTCGTAGGGACGTAGTCAAGGTGAGCGCCCTAACTATAAAGCGCTTCAGGAAACACTGGATTGCAAAACCGTCTAAATTGGTTTATGGACATGTTTCCTCTCCAGCACAACACTTGTTTGGTTTTATTCGGCGCAAGTTGGATACGTCGGTTTGACAGGTTTGCCGTGATTGGCTCAAAAGAAGCCGGTGGGCGGGCACTTCGGGGTCGTCCCTCCTTTTTCTAAACGTTTCCAGAGGGAGACTGTGCAGAACTGAGCTCAGAGCGACACACGGATCAGTCCGGAGTAAATCTGGTCACATAAACAAGCCTGAAGAAGTGTAATACTCTCTTTAAAGATACATTGTGTCACTTTTCTGGTGGAGGTTCCGTCAAATGCTTAAGTTCCAGGTCAGATCTGTGGAGAGGCGACCCCGCTCACAGTCACAATGTCTTGTTTTTCGAGGGATTTTTGAGCCGTAAAACCTGCACCTGTGATTGAATAAATGTAAAGTGGAGCTGTTTGGTGGAACGTTCCAGGCAGAGATGTGACGTGTCCGTAGAAACGAGCACAACTTGGCTCAAATTGTAAGATCCCAGAGTGTGACTTGATGTCGTCTCTCGTCTCGTGTGTGTTCGCTCGTCGTCGTCGTTTCAGTCGACGGTGGAGGAGGTGATGACCACGACGGCGTACCTGGACCTGTTCCTGCGCTCGGTCTCCGCCCCGGCTCTGCTCCAGACCTTCCTGTCCTTCGTCCTGCTCCACACCCACGACCAGGTGCACGTCCTGGACACGCTGGTGAGCCGCGTCAACACCCCCTTCCAGGTACCTGCTCCCGGAAAGTTCCACAGTGCCGCTTTAACGCAACCCCCCCTCAGGACAAAAGTGTGAAAGTCTCTCCGTCTGTGTTTGTTTGTTTGTGTTTGTTTCAGTTGGGGACAGTGTCTCTGTCTCTGTTCCGGACGCTCATCGGGTTTTTCTGTGAGGACGTCATGCTCCAGCTCGTCTTCAGGTGATTAAACTTCATTCATTAAAGGTTGTATGGAGGATTTTTTTTTTGTTTCAAACTGTCAGTCAAAGATTAAAATACCATTACAGAGACGCAGCAGCTTTGTAATTATGATGACCAAAAAAAAAAGAACAAAAATCTATCAACTGTGGACGTGTTGAGGCCAGATAAACATCAGCCAATAGAAAACGAGGCTCCCTCATTTTCTATTGGCTGTTAGGTTGTCAATCAAACTCCCTAGTGTAACTGACTCGTCGGAGCGCGGGGATTACGTGGTTTACGCAGCGGTTCTTAGAGGCTTTTTCGAAACTGTTGCTTCCTCGCATTTCGCACAAAGTTTGTCGCGACGGCGGACGAGAATCCACGACCGGTTCGCCGCAAAAGAAAGTCCGTTTTTGAGGTCGCTGAAAGAAGAAGAGAAGAGGAAAAGGAGCAAAGCCAAACTGAGGTGATTCTTGGAGATCTCGTCCAGCGATGGCGCGACCGAAGCAGACGAAGGGTCTAAAAACTGACGCGTCGGTCGCTGAATTACTTCTAGACAGGAAACTTCAACAGTGATTCTGAACGCGCACAAGGACTGTCGCTGTATTTCTCTTCCCTTAAAAAAATCCTCTATACAACCTTTAATGGACCTGACTGTTCTGCGTTGTTGCTAGGGATGTCCTGATCAAATTTTTTTGTCCCCAAGTCCGAGTCCTTTGATTCTGAGTATCTGCCGATAACGAGTCCTGATCCGATACTTCAATAAAACATTATGAAATGAACTAAGAGCAAAGAATCAGATCCAGGATGTTTGTGTCTGATGTGTTGTTGTGTTGTTGTGCGTCTGTTGTGTGTCTGATGTGTGTTGTGTGTCTGATGTGTTGTTGTTGTTGTTGTGTCTGTTGTGTGTCTGTTGTGTGTCTGATGTGTCTGTTGTGTGTCTGGTGTGCTGTTGTGCGTCAGGTTCCTGGCCCCGTGTCCGTCCTTGAGTCGACCCACAGGCTGCAGCTCCAGCGCAGAGTCTCTCCTGCAGCTGCTGCCGTCCTGGTGTCGTCCTCACAGTCGCCTGCACAACACCGAGCACCTGCACTGGCCCAAAGGAACACGTACGTACCACCAGGGGGCAGCGCTGGGCTAGTCCTGGCTTAGTTCTGATTTGTAGCTTTGTTGTGTCTGTTTTACTTTTGGGTTCAGTTTGTTTTTTGTTTTTTTATCTTAATGTCATTATTTATTTTGTTTGTTTTTAGTTAAAAAACTGAAGAAACCATTTGTATTTTAAATAAGTTGTATCAGGTGAATACAGCGGGTGATACTTCCTTCTTCTTTCAGATCCGTCTGTGTCGGATGTGGTCGGTTTTTGTCGCAGTTCAGACTTTCTGATGGACGTGAATTATCTCCATTATCTGATTGACGCTCGGCAGAACATCTCCTCTGCCCACAGGTCTGAACACACAAATCTACAAATGTGCTTCTTCAGACGTCAACAGTCCTTCACCGGACTCACACACGACACACTGATTTGTCACTGAGTTGAGTTCTACACATTCTCCATCTGAACGACTCTGACTGAAAAAGCGTTGGCAAATGTTGGAAAATAGACTCATGTGAACTTTAAGCCATGTTATAATGTTGTTAGTCCTGGTTTAGTCCTGGTTTAATCCTGGTTTAGACCTGATTTAGACCTGGTTTAGTCTTTGGTTTAGTCTTTGGTTCAGTCCTGGTTTAGACCTGGTTTAGTCTTTGGTTTAGTCTTTGGTTTAGTAGACCTGGTTTAGACCTGGTTTAGTGGGTTTAGTCTTTGGTTTAGTCTTTAGACCTGGTTTAGACCTGGTTTAGTCCTTTGGTTTAGACCTGGTTTAGACTGGTTTAGTCTTTGGTTTAGTTTTAGACCTGGTTTAGTCTGGTTTAGTCTTTGGTTTAGACCTGGTTTAGACCTGGTTTAGTCTTTGGTTTAGTCTTTGGTTTAGTCTTTGGTTTAGTCCTGGTTTAGACCTGGTTTAGACCTGGTTTAGACCTGGTTTAGTTTTAGTCTTTGGTTTAGTCTTTGGTTCAGTCCTGGTTTAGACTAGGTTTAGACCTGGTTTAGACCTGGTTTAGTCTTTGGTTTAGTCTTTGGTTCAGTCCTGGTTTAGACCTTGGTTTAGACTCTGGTTTAGACCTGGTTTAGTCTTTGGTTCAGTCTTTGGTTTAGACCTGGTTTAGACCTGGTTTAGTCTTTGGTTTAGTCTTTGGTTTAGACCTGGTTTAGACCTGGTTTAGTCTTTGGTTTAGTCTTTGGTTCAGTCCTGGTTTAGACCTGGTTTAGACCTGGTTTAGTCTTTGGTTTAGTCTTTGGTTCAGTCCTGGTTTAGACCTGGTTCACCTTAGTTTGGCTTCGCTCCTTTTCTCCTTCTCTTTTTCTTTCAGCGACCCCATAAACGGACTTTCTTTTGCGGCGAACTGGTCGTTGATTCTCGTCTCCTGTCGCGACAAACTTTGTGCCAGATTGCAAGGAAGCTTCAGTTGGAAAAAAAAAATGCTCAGAACCACTGCGTTGCTGTGTTTTTATTAAACCAACAGTTAGTTTGAACATTATACAAACGGGAAAATAAAATAAATGCAAAGTGCTGCTTGGTAAAACTAATAAATTAAATAAAATATTCTCAAATAATCAACAAATGTTTGAAATATTATAAAAAATAAATTCCTTGCAAACAGTAAACAAAACTTTTCAAAAAGTAAAGTGCAGCACGAACAGTTCCAGATTTTTGGACAGAAAAACAAACTCGTCGACAGAGCAGGTACTGAAAGTAAACTTCGGCTCGGGTCAGAGGTTGTGTTTTTTTGCGTAGTTTTGCAGGATTGTTGTGGTTCAGAGGGACGTGGTCAAGTCGGGGGGCAGTTGTTCTGAAGGCGTCGCTCTAACTATAAAGCGCTGCAGGAAACTCTGAACCAATCACGGACGAGTTCCATCGTGAATATTGAAGAGTCGAGCCTCCGTTGACCTGCACGTGTAGAGGACGACTGTAAACACACAGATTACACAATCTCACAAACCTGCACCGAACCAAACGTCCTAAAACTGAAACGGAAACGGTTCAGCACAAACACACTTTACACTCTCCGTACAACCTTTAAGTTTTGTCCTAATGTTGTTTCCTCGTCAAAATCAGAGCTGGAGTTGTGTTTGTTTCATTCAAATATTTGAGTAACTCTTTATTCTGAGTCTGTTTACGTCTCCAAAGCTCCAAACGCTCTGTTCAGGAGAGATCGGTGAAGAAATTCCAGAGTTTGAAATGATCCAAATGATTCTAGTGAAGGTGTGTGGAGTTTAAAAACACTAGTGGAGCTTTTACTGTATCACCACATGATGACATCACAAGATGGAACAGAGTTTTTTCAGAGTTCAGCCTAAATCTGCGGGGAAACAAAGATCAGAAAATGGCGTAGTCTGGGCGCTTTAAGATGTGTGACTCTTCTTTTCTTTTCGTTTCAGCGCGTGTCAGTCGTGGTCGGCTCCTTACGACGGTTCAAATCCTTCGCCTGAGGTTTTCCGCTCTGAGACTCCGGGGATCTTCATCGAGGGCGAGGAGGAAGAGGACGGAGACATTTTACCACGTCCCGAAAACATCTCCGTTTATTCTTCCGCCGCGACGCCTCCTCCCTCGCTCCTCTCGCCCACGCCGTCCTCCGCAGACGCGACGCCCAACGGGAACCAGGCGACCCGGTCCGGCTCCGCGCTCGAGCTCGAATGGGACGAACTTTTTGACGACGAAAATCCGGCAAAAAGTTTAGAGGAACCGCAGAAGAGCTCGACTCCACCCGAACATATCCAGGAGATGCGGCGGAACGCGATCAGGCTCGTCCGCGGCTCGTACGTGGAGGAGGCGGAGTTTCAGGACGACTTTTTGGTTTACGACCTGGTGGCGCAGAAAGACACCGACGCCGAGAGAGTTTCATCGACGAGTAAGCGAAACGACACGGAGAACGCGCAAAAAACAGCGTCGCCGGCGAAGAACACTTTAGCGACTATGCTGGCGACGACCGGAAAAAGCGTTTTGGAGACCGTGAACAGCATCATGTCGACGAGACGGAGGAGCGAAGACACGGGAACGGACGATAAAACGGGAAGCGAAGTTCAAAACGCGCCAAAAAGTCACTACGTTCTGACCAATGGCTTCACCGTGAGCAATAACGTGTTTGACATCGAGAACAAACACGAGTATAATTTGCTGTGTCTGAATCGTTTGAACAAAGTCGTGGAGGATCGTCCCGTGACCTTCAACGGACACGCGGAAAACGAGACGGAACCGCCAACGGAGACGACGTCCGCAGAGGATCAGAGCGAGGTTGGAGAGGTCGGGGAAGTTGGAGAAGTCGGCGAGGTTGGAGAAGTCGGTGAGGTTGGAGAAGTCGGCGAGGTTGGAGAAGTCGGCGAGGTTGGAGAAGTCGGCGAGGTTGGAGAAGTCGTTGGGGAGAAGTCGGCGAGAAGTCGGCGAGGTTGGCGTCGGCCGCGATGGCTTCGTGTTCCAGTACGAAGAGCTGATGAGGTCCTTGGGGGCCGAGCCGGAGCTGGAGGAGTCGGCGGACGACATGGGGTCGTTCAGGAGGAGGGTGCGAGCGCTGAGGAGGCGACTGCAGCAGGAGGAGGAGGAGGAGGAGATGAAGATGTGCGAGGAGGTGCTGAGATGGACGAGAGGAGACGACGACGACGAGGAGGAGGAGGGAGGAGAGAAGCTGGAGGAGATGGAAGAAGAAGAAGAGGCAAAGAAAAACTCCACCAGCGAGATTCCGTTTACAGGTTTGTAACTCTCAGAAACGCTTTATTAAAGACGTAATTTTGGCGAACACCACGGGAGAATTTGGGTTTTGGCTGCGATTTGCCCCGAGTTTGAGGAGGCGTGTGATTTTGAAGCTGCTGTAGGAATATAGAAATACAAATAGAAGAGGCCGTAAGGAACATCTGTCAATATTATCAGCACAAATTCATTAAAGCAACAGTGTGTAACTTTTTAGACCAAAATAGACTAGAATTTAAGTATGTTTTTTTTTTTTTCATTATGGTTGTGTTTATGGCACTGAAAAACACTGAAAAACACTGAAAAACATGCGTCCTTACTGTGAGCGGGCTCGCATTTCCACAAACGTGACTCTTTCTTTGCCTCCTCCTGCTCGTTTCCATGGAGACGTTGTTTCCTTTGGCTTTAATATTCCGCAGTGTGACGCAAAACGGCTTCAGTCTCGAGTTTTCTCAAGGCTGTCTCAAAAACGTTTTTGGGGCAGCGTTTTGCCGGTGTCTGCGTTTGCGTCGCCGTGGAAACAGCTGAACCTTCCATCATAGACATACATGTAGAACACCTCCAGTATGGAATCAGTTTTGAGTCGAATGGTTCAAAGACGTTTCTAAAACATCAAGCAAAAAAACATAAATCAAAATGCCAAGTAAAAAAAAAAAAAATCTAATAAAAAAGTAAAATGAAATGAGTAAATTTGCAATCAACTTATTTGTGTAATTATGTAAAATCTCTGTTATTTATATCCATGTCTTTCTCAGTTTTGTTTGGTGCCCTTGTCTTTGCTTCTGATTCTTCTTCTCGTTGGACTTTTTGCTTCTGATTCTTCTTCTCGTTGGACTTTTTGCTTCTGATTCTTCTTCTTGTTGGACTTTTTGCTTCTGATTCTTCTTTTTGTTGGACTTTTTGCTTCTGATTCTTCTTTTTGTTGGACTTTTTGCTTCTGATTCTTCTTTTTGTTGGACTTTTTGCTTCTGATTCTTCTTCTCGTTGGACTTTTTGCTTCTGATTCTTCTTCTCGTTGGACTTTTTGCTTCTGATTCTTCTTTTTGTTGGACTTTTTGCTTCTGATTCTTCTTCTCGTTGGACTTTTTGCTTCTGATTCTTCTTTTTGTTGGACTTTTTGCTTCTGATTCTTCTCTCGTTGGACTTTTTGCTTCTGATTCTTCTTTCGTTGGACTTTTTGCTTCTGATTCTTCTTCTCGTTGGACTTTTTGCTTCTGATTCTTCTTCTCGTTGGACTTTTTGCTTCTGATTCTTCTTCTCGTTGGACTTTTTACTTCTGATTCTTCTTTTTGTTGGACTTTTTGCTTCTGATTCTTCTTCTCGTTGGACTTTTTGCTTCTGATTCTTCTTCTCGTTGGACTTTTTGCTTCTGATTCTTCTTTCTTGTTGGACTTTTTGCTTCTGATTCTTCTTCTTCGTTGGACTTTTTGCTTTTTCTGATTCTTCTTCTTCGTTGGACTTTTTTGCTTCTGATTCTTCTTTTGTTGGACTTTTTGCTTCTGATTCTTCTTTTTGTTGGACTTTTTGCTTCTGATTCTTCTTTTTGTTGGACTTTTTGCTTCTGATTCTTCTTCTCGTTGGACTTTTTGCTTCTGATTCTTCTTCTCGTCGGACTTTTTACTTCTGGTTCTTCTTCTTGTCGGACTTTTTGCTTCTGATTCTTCTTCTCGTTGGACTTTTTGCTTCTGATTCTTCTTCTCGTTGGACTTTTTGCTTCTGATTCTTCTTCTCGTTGGACTTTTTGCTTCTGATTCTTCTTCTCGTTGGACTTTTTGCTTCTGATTCTTCTTCTTCGTTGGACTTTTTGCTTCTGATTCTTCTTCTCGTTGGACTTTTTGCTTCTGATTCTTCTTTTTGTTGGACTTTTTGCTTCTGATTCTTCTTCTCGTTGGACTTTTTGCTTCTGATTCTTCTTTTTCTCGTTGGACTTTTTGCTTCTGATTCTTCTTTCTCGTTGGACTTTTTGCTTCTGATTCTTCTTCTCGTTGGACTTTTTTTGGCTTCTGATTCTTCTTTTTGTTGGACTTTTTACTTCTGCTTCTTTTTGTTGACTTTTTGCTCTGATTCTTCTTCTGTTGGACTTTTTGCTTCTGATTCTTCTTCTCGTTGGACTTTTTGCTTCTGATTCTTCTTCTCGTTGGACTTTTTGCTTCTGATTCTTCTTTCTCGTTGACTTTTTGCTTCTGATTCTTCTTCTCGTTGGACTTTTTGCTTCTGATTCTTCTTCTCGTTGAACTTTTTGCTGGGCGGGAGTTTTTATTTGTATATTTTTGTTTGCTCAAACTATAAATGTGTTAAAAAAGTACAGTACAGAGAAAGTACAAGTACAAGAAAGTATGATTACCTAAAACGTGTGCTTACTTCCAGTACTTCACTACTTTGTTCTGTGCCGTGTCGTGGTCGCCCTCAGGTCCGTTCATCAGCGTGCTCCTGTCCCGTCTGGAGAACCTTCTGGAAAACTCCATCTCGGTGAATCTGCTGGTGACGGGGATCCTGGCGCAGCTGGCGTCGTACCCGCAGCCTCTGCTCTGGGGTTTCCTGCTCAACACGGAGACGGACCACGCCCACGCCAACGTGCGCACGCTCTACCAGGTAAACAACGCATTCAAAATATTAACAGATTTTATCATAGTTTGCCAGAAGAACACGGAACATTTGTCAGTGCCCCATGTTGTTGTTCGCGAATTATACTGACGCACACACTTCTGAAGGATGGAGCGTGTTTTTAGAACATCTTACCCGGTCGATTTGCCTCACGTCAGCGCTCTGCTCCTCGCCTTTTCACTCCCTCTCCTCTCCGTGTAGCTCACATCGCCTCGGTCGCGCCGATCGGAAAAACAAGACGAAACGAGAAGCAAAAATTAATCATGAAAACGACATGTGGCTGAAGTTTGACAAATAAAATGCCAAATCCATCTGTGTTTGTCACGTGTGTAAATCCCACAGCAAAACCAGTGAGAGAATGTAACTCCTCGGAATGGGAATGATTAGTTGATTAATCAATAATTGATTTAAGAATTTTATCGATTACGTTCATTTTTAATCAACAAACCGAAGGTAGGTTGCTGTGCGTAGTGGCTTATATTCCACTAAGTCGTGTCCTTTAGTCTGACACAAGTTGAACCACATCAGCAACACAAGAGCAGTTTTTTTTCTCGCTTAATTTATGCAAATGAGTCATGTGGTTTTAAGTTTTGTTTCTGTGAGATTTGAACAAATCTGCATTAAACACATTATAATGTCAAACAGCTGATGTGGCTCTAGAGTCGTTATGTTTATATGTCGTAAAGTTGAATTTATTTATGCAGATTAGTGCAGATAGTAATAATAATGATGATAATTTTAATATAAAAACGTTCATTACGATTAATTGAAAATCAATCATAAATTCTCCCGACGATCGATTAAGAAAATTTTATCAAATGCCCGTCCCTAGTAACTCCAGTTAGGAACTTTTAAAAAGCAAGTTTAATAATCCTCGCCACTTTCTCCACTTTGTTCAGTTTTGTGTAAAGTTCCAGTGGAAGTTTCTCTTAAAGACGAGCGTCTCAAACTGTGGGTCAGGGTCCAGAAAAGAAGCGCAGAGTGTTTCAGTGCAGAACAGTTTGTTTGGATTATTTTAAGTCTAAATAAACATTAATCAGCGAGAATGGAGGCAGATTTATAAAAACATTAATATAAATGTGCCAAAAATAACTGTAAAATACAAATAAATCTCAAAAATGAAAAAGATGGTCTTGATTTGGTCTCGTTGAACCGTGGTCTCGGTCTTGTCCTGGTCTCTGGACCCTGTGGTCTTGGACTGGTCTTGGTCTTGACTTCATTTAGACTTATTAACTTATTAATAGACACACCAGTGCATCCAGTTTGCAAAAAACAAACAAAAAACCCCAAAAACAGCAGGAGCAGGGGCCCTAGAACTCCTTTGTCTATTATTTGGAAATGAAATGTAGTTTATTTTTCCAAGACATTTTTCCAGACATTAAAGAAGCTTCAGTGTTACATTTTTTGTATGTATTTTAATATTGTTTTGTGATTAATTGAGATAAATTCATTACAAAGCCTCTAATTAATTAGATATTTTTTAAAATGAAGTCCCACCCCTAGTTCTTCTGTTGTATTGTGGTTCAGTCGTGTTTTTAAGTTTAATTTAATTTGTTTTACTGCGGTCATGTCCTGTTGTTGTGTGGCTTTTCCAGCAGAGGGCGCCAACCGAGCAACATTACAGTCTGAAACAGGAGTCTCCAACCTGTAGCTCTACAAAATTGGCTAAAATTTAAGCTCTAAACACTTAAATCTATCAGAAAATGACTTAAAAGTGTTGAAATGATGTGTCCATGCAGCGAGATCATTTTACTGGACAAGTTCTTTTAAAATAATCGACCTCTAGATGAAAATGAAGCGTCTGTGCTCAGTGTTTATGGGCTGAAAACAAATTTATAGAAGCTAAGTTTGAGATAAATGAACTTAAAATCAGTTTATGATCAGTGTTTATGGCCTGATAATAAATTCAAAGATGCTAAATTCTAGATAAAAGTTCTTGAAATCAGTGACATGATCGTAGTTTGTCCATTCATACTAATCTAAAAACAAGTGAAGTTTTTTTTGCTTCTTTTAAACATTTATCGCCTAAATTTAAGATTTTCTGACGATTTGAGTCATGGAAGAAATAAATGTGCCAATTTTTAAGATTAAACAACCAATTCAGAACGAGTGAGTCGATAATAAATCTGAAAACAAGTTGAAGAACCTGAAATAATTTTTAAAATCTTGGCCAGATCAGAGAAATTTGTAGTGAGGGATTTTGGAATTATACGTTTTGTGTTTTATAGTCGTCGAACTCTTCCTCTTCTAAGACTCACCCTCTTTTTTTATTTTCTTTATAATCTTTCCAATTTCTTGCAATCGCTAAAACGAAGAGCTTTTCTGCGTTTTTGTTTGTAAAGGAGCTCACTGGAGGCCCCTGATCTAAAAAAAAAAAAAAGAAATTATCACATTAACGTAATACTTTTCTTCATCTATTGGGCGTTTTTGGCGGGTTAAGTGTCTTGCTCAAGGACACAACTAGATTCTGAACTGGTCAGAATGTATTTTAGTGTCATTTTTAAGATTCTGCAACCGACTCAGAACAAGTACGACGATAATAAACCTGAAAACAAGACGAAGAACTTGATATTGAGTTTGAAAATCTTGGCCAGATCAGAGAAAACTGCAGCGTGATGAAGGTGTGTGGAGTTTAAAAACACAGTGGAGCTCTTCATGTAGTAGTGTTTTCAGTTTTGAGAGAAAAACTGGTGTTAAACGTGCAGGTTTGTGAGTTAAACGTGTGAATGAAACAAAACACAACTCCAAAATAGACGAGAAAACAGTGTCATATTTGTATTTAAAGATCTGTTTTCTGTTTGTTGTTTGTCGTTTGTTTGTTGTTTATTGTTCTCGTTGTGGTTCCGTGCAGGTTCTGGTGTCGGTTCGCGCTCAGATCGAGAGGTTCATGTCGCAGAGACCCGAGTACACGGCTCTGGTGACTCAGGCCTGGAGGTTTCTGCTGCTCAAGGACCACGACAAGAAGATCCGAGGTAAAACTTTCTGCTGTTTCTTCACTTTCGACTCTACGCTGACATCACTACGGGGGTGTTCTACATGTTTACAGTGTCCCTATTTACTCAGGACAGTCCCAGTTTTGAGTCTGTGTCTCTTGTCCCAGCACTGATTTGTACCAGTTTGAGTCTACGTTTATACGATGACGGTCTGAACAGAAGAGGCAAAAGTGGCGTCGAATCCGTGTATCATTCATTCATTCGTTTTCAATATAAAACCAAAAATAAGAAAACGAAAAAAACAACCTGGATCAGTCCTGATTCAGTCCGTATGCAGTGCAAAGTTCAGCATCGCAGTCATGGAAGTTACGTAAACGGGAAACGGCCGTTATCCATTTTTTCCATTCTTCATTTAAACACAAAATCGAAAACTGAAAAAATGAATCGTTATCCGTTTTTTTCATTTTGGTTTTGGAGACAAATAGCGAAGAAAACTGTTGTTTTTTCGTTTTCTTATTTTTGGTTTTATATTGAAAAATGAATGAACGAATGATACACGGATTGCGTCGCGTCTTCACTTTTTTATTCGTCGTTTAGTCGAGTGTTTTCAGGAGTAAATCTGCGTTCAAACGGTGACGCAAAAGTGTGTGGAATTGAATTGTGTGTGTTTGTACTTAAATCATCAAGAGCGTCTTTGGACATACACAAGTTTTCACGTCACACGTTTTCATCAGCTCCTCCTTCCACAAAGTCGTCCCACCGTCGACTGGTTCTCCAGGTCTCCTGATGAAACTTTCTTGTTTCAGATCATCTTAACTTGGCTAGATTTGTGTTTTTGCAGCGCGGGGCTCAAAACTGGGACTGTCCCGGGTCAGTAGGGACGTCTGGACACCTTAAATTGTCAATGAAAGTTTAAAACACCATTACAGAGACGCAGCAGCTTTGTAATTATGATGACCAAAAAAAAAAAAGAATGAAAATCCATCAGCTGTGGACGTGTTGAGGCCAGATAAACATCAGCCAATAAAAAATGAGACTCCCTCTTTTTTTATTGGCTGTTGGGTCGTCAATCAAACTCCCTACGTTTCTAGTGGAACTGACTCGTCGTCGCGCGGGGATTTCGTGGTGTACAGGGCGGTTCTTAGAGGCTTTTTCAAACTGTAGCTTCGTCGCAATTCGCACAAAGTTTGTCGCGATGTCGGACGAGAATCCACGACCGGTTCGCCGCCAAAGAAAGTCAGTTTTTTGAGGTCGCTGAAAGAAGAAGAGAAGGAGAAAAGGAGCGAAGACAAACTGAGGTGATTCTTGGAGATTCCTTCCAGCGATGGCGCGACTGAAGCAGACGAAGGGTCTAAAAACTGAAGACGAGTCGGTCGCTAAATTATTTCTAGACAGGAAACTTCAACAGTAATTCTGAACTGGCTGTAAACAAACGTGATTTCTAGAGTAAAGAGACGGGACGAGATGTTTCTACTGAGGAGCTGTGGAGGAGGAAGGTGGTGTCACACATGCACAACATTTGAAAAATTATTTCTCTTCCCTTAAAATATCCTCTATACAACCTTTAAACCACCACCTTAAACCCGGGGCTGTTCTAGTTTCTGATTTTAAACCTTCAGTCACCTTAAACCTGAATGAAAAATGTAAAAGTTCGTCAGAAAACTTGAGGAAAAAAAACATAAAATGGATCTGGACGGTGTGGTCTCGGACTGGTCTTGGTCTGATTAGTTCTGTCTTATTTATCTACTCTAGATTTAAGTCTAACTCGAGTAACAGAGCTTCAGACAGAGCAGTGCCTCCAGTTAGAATCACACCTACAGAAAATGTGAATGAAATCAGCCACAAAGGATCAACAGAAACTTGACACTGAAGAAAATAAAACATGGTAACACTTTATAATTACACCTTACTTAGCCTTAATAAAGCATGAACAAAGACTTAATTAATAATGAACAAAGATTTAATTAATAATAATTCACGCTTAGTAAATGTTTAATAAAGCATAATTTGTCTTCACTTTAGAAAAGCTCTCAAAAAGACTTAACAGATAACAGCTGCCTGAATTATCATTGCATTACATTATAAGTAAATCATTCTCTCATAGCTTATTAATGATTAATAAATGCTCAAATGGTTAGTTCATGAGTAATTAAGTATGAAATAATTATGAGTATTTACAGAACAGGCAAATTAAATGCAAGTGCTAATTAAGGTAGTAATTAAGTAGTTACTAAGCATGAATCATTATTAATTAAGTCTTTGTTCATTATTAATTAAGCCTTTGTTCATGCTTTATTAAGGCTAAATAAGGTGTAGTTATTATAAAGTGTTACCAAAAACATAAAAACATAAACACATAAACAGGACAATTTGATCTTTCCTGAATTTTGATTTGCTCCTTTGATTAATTTCAACATTAATAATAATAATATGATAATAATAATCATCATCATCATATTTAAATAAATGTCAAATAAATAAATAGTTGTTGTCATGACGATCTGCAGCGTCTGGATTCATTATGTCACTGTGAGGACCTCTAGTGGACTTTTGTGTGAAGTGCAACGTGAAGCAGCCAGAGCCAAAGTGCAGCTTTAAAAGTAAAAAAAAAAAAAAAAAAAGTTGTGTAGTTTCTTCTTCAAATACATTCCTCGACTTGATCATGTTTTATAAAAGCTAACTGGAGGCACCACTCTGTCTGAAGCTCTGAGTCAGATTACACTTTTAGTTTAAAATCAAACTCCTTAATCCATGAACACTGAAACGTGCTCTTAAAATTCATTTGGTGTTTTTTTAAATTTTTTTATTCAGTTTTCAGACGATTTTAAAGGTGCATGGTGTAACTTTCCTGGCAGAGCGTCCGTCATCTGCTCGTCTCCGTGGAGATAGTTGCAGTAAATGCCGTACTGTGGAATATTTCAGGAACAAAAAACAGTGGTGGACCCTCTGCCGGGAAAGTTACACAGTGCACCTTTAAAATGTCTGTGTCTGCTAATGTGTGCGCTGCATCTCCGTGGTAACCGCTGAACGTTCGTGCACACACACGTCCATGTAGAACACCCCCAGCGCGACGTCAGGGCGAAGCGTCAGCAGCACCAGATCAGATTTTCACTTTTAAACCAGTTGCTGAAATTTGAAGTGTTCATTTTCAATCTGTTTCAAATTTAAAATAAAAACGTCACTTTTAAGATTAGTATGATTAAATCTGAGCGTTTATTTTGTTATTATATTAATATTGTTGTGATTATTATTTATTTGTGCAGCTCTTTGGGTTATAAAACGTGCGACAGAAATAAAATGATTGGAACTAAAATTCAAAATAAAAACAATACAAACATGTTTTTTCAGAGTTAAAAAAATTCAAAAAATTCCATCAGATTTACAATTTTTCATAAACCTGAATGAGTTTTCCTGTCACAGTCTGAGAAACGGCGTCTTTATGTGTTTCAGAGCTCGTGGAGTCGGGTGCGACCGGAGCGGACCTGCCCCTGCCGAACGGCTCCTGCCCCCTGCCCCTGCCGCCCTGCCCCCCCATCCCGCCCCAGGCCCAGAGCGCCGTCTACGCCATCGTCCTCTACGCCGAGTTTCTCAAAGAGCTGGCGGCGCTGGCGCAAGAGCACAGCATCGGCCACCGGCGAGACTGAAACGTGAAGCGGGAAAAACACGAAACGAGACTGAAACGTGAAGCGGAAAAACACGAAACGAGACTGAAACGTGAAGCGGGAAAAACACGAAACGAGACTGAAACGTGAAGCGGAAAACACGAAACGAGACTGAAACGTGAAGCGGGAAAAACACGAAACGAGACTGAAACGTGAAGCGGGAAAACACGAAACGAGACTGAAACGTGAAGCGGGAAAAACACGAAACGAGACTGAAACGTGAAGCGGGAAAAACACGAAACGAGACTGAAACGTGAAGCGGAAAAAAACACGAAACGAGACTGAAACGTGAAGCGGGAAAAACACGAAACGAGACTGAAACGTGAAGCGGGAAAAACACGAAACGAGACTGAAACGTGAAGCGGAAAAAACACGAAACGAGACTGAAACGTGAAGCGGGAAAAACACGAAACGAGACTGAAACGTGAAGCGAAAAAACACGAAACGAGACTGAAACGTGAAGCGGGAAAACACGAAACGAGACTGAAACGTGAAGCGGGAAAAAAAACACGAAACGAGACTGAAACGTGAAGCGGGAAAAACACGAAACGAGACTGAAACGTGAAGCGGGAAAACACGAAACCAGACTGAAACGTGAAGCGGGAAAAACACGAAACGAGACTGAAACGTGAAGCGGGAAAAAAACACGAAACGAGACTGAAACGTGAAGCGGGGAAAAACACGAAACGAGACTGAAACGTGAAGCGGGAAAAACACGAAACGAGACTGAAACGTGAAACGGGAAAACACGAAACGAGACTGAAACGTGAAGCGGGAAAAACACGAAACGAGACTGAAACGTGAAGCGGAAAAACACGAAACGAGACTGAAACGTGAAGCAAGAAAACACGAAACGAGACTGAAACGTGAAGCGGGAAAACACGAAACGAGACTGAAACGTGAAGCGGGAAAACACGAAACGAGACTGAAACGTGAAGCGGAAAAACACGAAACGAGACTGAAACGTGAAGCGGGAAAACACGAAACGAGACTGAAACGTGAAGCGGGAAAAACACGAAACGAGACTGAAACGTGAAGCGAAAACACGAAACGAGACTGAAACGTGAAAAAAAAAAACACGAAACGAGACTGAAACGTGAAGCAAGAAAACACGAAACGAGACTGAAACGTGAAGCGGGAAAAACACGAAACGAGACTGAAACGTGAAGCAAAAACACGAAACGAGACTGAAACGTGAAGCGGGAAAAAAACGAAACGAGACTGAAACGTGAAGAGAGACTGAAACATTTTTATAATTTATTGTGTCAGATCTTTAATTTATTATTCTGAATTTGAGTTTTCATTTTGTATAATTTACGCTCGAATATTTTGTCAAACTTTTACCGAAGCGTTACAAGTGTCAAAAAAATATGCAAATGTTTTTATGTATTTATTTTATTTAAAGTTTTAAAAATATGTTTGAAGTCCACACACGTTTCATTTTGACGTCACATGGGGACTCCAGGGACGTAAGTGCAATAAAAACAAACTGTGAAAATAAACTCTGCTCTTTTTTAAATTTATTTATTTTGTAAGTATAAATATCGGAGGTAAATTACAAATTGCACATTCAGAGTTTTTATTTTTGTCTTGTCTTTGTGGGTCTTTCAGATCTTAAAGGTTGTATGGAGGATTTTTTTTTTGTTTTTTTTGTTTCAAGTTGTCAGTGATAGATTATAGATGCAGTCGCCTTGTAATTATGATGACCAAAAAAAAGAGAATAAAAATTCATCAACTCTGGACGTGGTGGGGACAGATAAACATTTGCCAATAGATAACGACACTGCCTCGTTATCTGTGAGCTGACAGGCTGTCAATCAAACTCCCTACGTTTCTAGTGTAACTGACTTGCCTGCGCCGCCGTTACGTGGTTTATGTACGACTGTCACGCAGTCCACAGACGCAAGACGCACAGACGCTGTTTACTCCACCAACGCAACAGTTCTCAGTGGCTTTTTTGACCTATATCTTCCTCGCAGTTCGCACAAAGTTTGTAAACAAAGAATCCAGGAGCAGTTCGCCGCAAAAGAAAGTCTGTTTTTGAGGTCGCTGAAAGAAGAAGACAAGGGGAAAAGCAGCGAAGCCAAACTAAGGTGATTCTTGAAGATTCATTCCAGCGATGGCGCGACTGAAGCAGACGCAGGGTCTAAAGACTGAAGCACTGGTCCACAAATTACTCCTGGACAGGAAACTTCTGCTTATTATGAAAACGTACTTTATTTCCAAGAGCTACACAAACGTTTTTCAGGACACGAAAGCGATATCCTATGTCTGAAAACGTAATTTTCAAGGCAAAGAAAGAGTCCGCTTGCTGCTGCGTGTTGTAGTTAGTTCATTCGCACTGAATCTCCACGCAACCTTCTCTGCACCCCTTTCCTGCTCCTCTCCCCGCTGCCCGATCCACTCTTCCCCCTGATCCTCACTTCTCCGGGCACGGAATCTCCGCTCACCGCTCCCCTCTCCTCTCTCCTCTCCTCTCCTCCTCTCTCTCTCTCCTCTCTCCTCTCCTCCTCTCCTCTCCCTCTCTCCTCTCTCCTCTCTCCTCTCTCCTCTCCTCTCTCTCTCCTCTCTCTCTCCTCTCTCCCTGCTCCTCACTTCTCGTCCGCGAACGAAATGTCCGCACACCCGCTCCTCACTTCTCCGTCTTGTCTAACCAACACTGTAGTTAGTTGTTTACAAGTCATGTGCAGCGGCTGTAAACAAACCTGTTTGTGGCGTAAGGAGGAGGAGGGAGGAGGTGTTTCTACGTAGGAGCTGTGGTTTCACGCATGAGCAACATTTGAAAAAGGACAAACAGTCGCTGGATTTCTCCTTCCTTGGAAAATCCTCTATACAACCTTTAAATCACGTCTGTTCACACAACTGAACTGAAACTGAACTAAAACTGAACTGAAACTGAACTAAAACTGAATTGAAACTGAACCGGGACTGAAATCCCTGAAATTATTTGTGTCTAAACCTGTAAACAGACGTTAATACTGAGCTTGGTTTAAGTTTGGTCCTGGTTTAGTCCTGGTTTTGTCCTGGTTTGGTTCTGGTTCGTGCTTTTCTCCTGGATTGGTCCTAGTTTAAATCTGATTTGGTTCTGCTTTGGACCTGGTTTAGTCCCAGTTTAGTCCTGGTTTTGTCCTGATTTAGTCCAGGTTTTGTCCTAGTTTAGTCCTAGTTTGATCTTGGTTTTAGGTTTGATTTAGTCCTGGTTTAGACCTAGTTTTGTCCAGGTTTTCTCTTGGTTTGGTCCTGGTTTTATTCTTGGTTTAGATCTGGTTTATTCTTGGTTTAGTCCGTATTTAGTCTTGGTTTAGTCCCAGTTTAGTCCTGGTTTTGTCCTGGTTTTCTCTTGGTTTAGTCCTAGTTTGATCCTGGTTTTAGGTCTGATTTAGTCCTGGTTTAGTCCTAATTTTGTCCAGCTTTTCTCCTGGTTTGGTCCTGATTTTAAGTCTGGTTGGATCAGGGTTTATTCTTGGTTTAGTCCCAGTCTAGTCCTACTTCTGTTTTAGTTTAGTCCTAAGTTAGTCCTGGTTTTCTTCTGGTTTGGTCCTGGTCCTGGTCTTGGTCTTGGTCTTGGTTTCAGTCTTGTTGCAGTCAGGTCTTTCGTGTCGTGGTCTGGTCGTGTTTGGTCCTGGTCCTGGTCCTGGTCCTGGTCCTGGTCTTGGTCTTGGTTTCAGTCTTGTTGCAGTCAGGTCTTTCGTGTCGTGGTCGTGTTTTGGTCCTGGTCTGGTCCCGGTCCTGGTCTTGGTCTTGTTGCAGTCAGGTCTTTCGTGTCGTGGTCGTGTTTTGGTCCTGGTCCTGGTCCTGGTCTTGGTCTTGGTTTCAGTCTTGTTGCAGTCAGGTCTTTCGTGTCGTGGTCGTGTTTTGGTCCTGGTCTGGTCCTGGTCCTGGTCTTGGTCTTGGTCTTGGTTTCAGTCTTGTTGCAGTCAGGTCTTTCGTGTCGTGGTCGTGTTTTGGTCCTGGTCCTGGTCTTGGTCTTGGTTTCAGTCTTGTTGCAGTCAGGTCTTCCGTGTCGTGGTTGTGTTTTGGTCCTGGTCTGGTCCTGGTCCTGGTCTTGGTCTTGGTTTCAGTCTCGTTGCAGTCAGGTCTTCCGTGTCGTGGTCGTGTTTTGGTCCTGGTCTGGTCCTGGTCCTGGTCTTGGTCTTGGTTTCAGTCTCGTTGCAGTCAGGTCTTCCGTGTCGTCGTGTTTTGAAGAGGAGGGTTTTTCCGCGAGCGTGAACAGACCACAAGTCGACTCGCAGCAGATCTGCACGATGGAGACGCTGCTCCTCTGCCTCTGCACCTCAGGCAAGTCCTCTCTCTGTCCCCGACGACCTAAAGCTCCACTCTGGAACTTTTCTGCTTCTGTCTGTGGGTTTGTCTGTTTAAAATGTCCCACAGTGTGACTTTAAACGGCTCTGGTTTATATTGATTCAGCTACAGCAGGTTTGAGAGTCAGAAACATCTAGAAAAACAAACATTCTGATCTGGTTTGGTCCTAGTTTAGTCCTGGTTTTAGGTCTAGTTTGGTCTTGATTTAGTCCTGGTTTAGTCTGGGTTTTTTCCTGGTTTGGTCCTAGTTTAGTCCTGGTTTTAGGTCTGATTTGGTCCTGGTTTTATACTTGGTTTAGTCCTTATTTAGTCCTGATTTAGTCCTAGTTTAGTCCTGGTTTTAGGTCTGATTTGGTCCTGGTTTTATACTTGGTTTAGTCCAGGTTTAGTCCTTATTTAGTCCTGATTTAGTCCTAGTTTGGTCTTGGTTTTCTTCTGGTTTGGTCCTAGTTTATTCTTGGTTTGGTCCTGGTTTAGTCCTAATTTTGTCCTGGTTTTAAGTCTCATTTGGCCCTGATTTAGTCCTGATTTAGTCCTGGTTCAGTCCTGGTTTAGTCCTGGTTTGGTCCCAGTTTTCTCTTGGTTTGGTCCTAGTTTGGTCCTGGTTTTAAGCCTGGTTTAGTCCTGGTTTGGTTCTAGTTTTGTCCTGGTTCAGTCCCGGTTTAGTCCTGGTTTAGTCTTGATTTAGGCCTGGTTCAGTCCAGGTATTCTCCTGTTTTGGCCCT